ATGGCGCACAGGCTCCAAGCAAAGGCAAGACGGGAGTTTATTTACAGATAAGTCACAACCAGGGCCCACTCAGGCTCTGGCCAGAAGACCCCACGTACATATAGGCTGTGGGGCCCATTAGTACCAGAGCCTTTCCCCGCCAGGGGCCTGGTAAAGGGACCAAGAGTCAGGCAGGGCCAAGGACATGGAAGGTGGGAGGCCCCAGTCCTTGCCAGGTACCAGAGGTCACCTGTTGCGACCCCCATGCCAGAGGAGGAAACTGCCCTCGGCCCTGAAGCGTGGACACTGAGAAGCCTGGGACAGCTGTACCCTCGATGCCCAGCCACGGGGGGGAGGTCCCGGCGGCAGTGGCTCAGGGCACGGACACGCTGCGGGCCCCTCCGGACCTGTCCAAGAGCGAGCGTGGAGGTGGTGTCCCGGGCCACAGATGCCCCTCACGCAGGGGGCTCCCCCAGTTTGCTGGTGACGCTCGTGACCCGCTTGCTTTCCCGGAGGTTCCGGAGGCGGGCGCTGAGGCTGCTGATCTCCTCCACGTAGGCCTGGGGCACCCAGCCCTTCTCGCCATCTGCCAGGCGGACCCCCTCCAGCCAGCCTGGGGGCACACAGGCCAGGAGCAGCATCAGTGGCATCCGAGGGCCACCAGGGCCGGGTCTATGAGGGGCCCTGATGTGAGCCTCGTCTGCACCCCTGGGGCCAAGGTGACACCAGCTCAGCACCTCCCAGCTCCAGGAAGGACCCTGCCTCTAGCAATCTCGTCGAGGAACTTGTGACCCGTTTTTCCCGACATCCTCAAAGGTATTTCCCACGTTCCCCGTCAGTCACTCTCAGTCCCACATCGTCACAAGGAGGAAGTGCCTCCTCTTGTCTAACTTCATTCCTGCACGCTGCGGTTGGCTGCCACCTGCATAACCTTGCCCTGTGATGTCTTAGCCACCTAGCGACCTCCTGCCACGGGAGCCCATCGGGTAAGACTTCCCGGGAGGCCCCTCTCACCCACCGTCACTGGTCCGGGTCCTCACGGCCAGGATGTCCGTCTTCTCCAAGGTCAGCTCGTCCGGCTGCAGCGCCTTGTATGTCCGGACACACTGAACCTGGGGGCGGTCTGACAGCCCCAGAGACAGTGAGGGCGTCCCCAGGGCATGACAGGGCGGCAGGGAGGGGCAGAGGAGGAGGGG